CCCCCAGCCGGTGCTGGCTGGGATCATTGGGGGGATCTGCTTCCTCAGCGTTGCTGTCATCTTCAGCACCATGGCCGCCTGCATCATGAACCGCCGGCGTGCTGCCCGCATCCAGAAACGAAGGCAAGGTAGGAGTTGGTTGGCTGGGTGCAGGCACCTGGATCGTGGGGCTCGCAGAGAGCTTGAAGCATTGTGTGCAGGGCAGCAGGACCCAGTGCCCAGGGAGGGAACGGGCCAGCCCGAGGCTGGGGGGCTCACCAGGGGCTGTAGTAGGGCTGAGTGGGTGCTGCTGTCTCCTCATCATCACTTTGAGTTGCTCGCTGGCAAGGTAGGAGTTGGTTGGCTGGGTGCAGGCACCTGGATCGTGGGGCTCGCAGAGAGCTTGAAGCATTGTGTGCAGGGCAGCAGGACCCAGTGCCCAGGGAGGGAACGGGCCAGCCCGAGGCTGGGGGGCTCACCAGGGGCTGTAGTAGGGCTGAGTGGGTGCTGCTGTCTCCTCATCATCACTTTGAGTTGCTCGCTGTGTGATCCCCTTGTGTTCTCATGACCTTCCAGATCCACCACTCGTCCTCTCCCCCAGCAAGAAGCTTCCACCTCCACAGTAAGTCATGCCATGCCACACTCCCTGCCCCTCCCTGTCTCGCTGTGGTCCCCATCCCTCCCGTGCCGCTGGCTGGGGGCAGAGGGACAGGCTGGGGGGCACGCCACCCGTTGGCTGAGGGCTGGCTGCAGAGGGTCTTAGGAGCAGGGTGCTGGGGTCAGGGTGTGCCATGGGGCAGGGCTTCCCTGGGGTGCTCCCTCCAGAGAGTTTTGGCTGAAGAAAGGATCCGAAAGCACAGGAGCAGGTCTGTCAAGCCTGCAGCAGTGGTGCAGGGTCACCATACCTGCTGCCAGATGCCCAGCACAAACTCTCCTGGCATGGGGGGCAGCCAGACGAGCCCAGAGCTGGGACTGGGGTGCTGCAGCAGCTCGCTTCTTCCTTACAGCAATTCTTGTGGCTCTGATAGCCCAGACAGTACCGTGAAGCCGAAGCTGCAGCCGTCCCCCTACCAGAGCCTGCACCGGACGCTGCTGTGGGGTGAGAAGGCCAGCACCAGCCTGGGTCTCAGCATCGCCGGGGCTGGCTCCGGGTACGCCGTGTATGAGAGCCATGTCGGGGAGCACGTGCCCCTGGAGCGGATCTGCCGCGGCCCTGACGGGCGTTTCGTGGTGGAAACTGACACACGGATGCAGGAGAGCGGCTTTGGGGCACTGCCCTATGCCAAGCAGGAGCCGTACACCCCACGGGAACCCCTGGAGCTGCAGCCCCAGCCCTACCTCCAGCTGCCTG